TTGTGCTATTGATATGAACTCTGACATCTCGATGTTTAGCGAGTAGTTTCATAACTGTAGGTTAGAGATTTGCTATGTAAGGATCTTTGGTTTTTATTTCCAGAATTTGTGGATCTATTTATTCTATTCAGTTTATTGAATTGTTCTTAATGCTTTTGATCTCGTTGGCCACTTGGTTGAATGAACTTAGGGTTTTAATTCACATAGACATATGGGATTATAACCTGAAAATAATTCAATAAATAGAACAGGTATCACATCGGGAGATGGGTATTTGTCTAGGAATCATGATAGCGTTCGTTCATGCATCCAGAGTTTGAGACTATTGAATCGGAAGATTGGTAGGATTAAACCTGGATAGTAAGATTAGACTTGGAAGAGTTAATCTCTACCTTAGAGCTTGAATTCCCTGGATTGGATAGATAAACCACTAAGTTTGCATCTTTTGAGAGATCCTTGCATGTAAAGCAATCCCGAAGCCTACAGTGTTCATCGTTACACTCTCATTCCTACATTATTTTCTTTGGATTTAGACTTAGTTTTGGATTCAATTCATTTGTCTACTCTTGTCCCTGTGTTTGACCCTAGTTACTACAATTGAACCGTACACTTGCGGTATTTGTTGAATCTAGGATATTATTACTTGATCATATTTCTACACCTAGATTTGCGACATCACCCTTCGGTTCGGACATTCCCTCCCAATATGAGCATTTCTCAAGTCATCATCTTCAATTCGTTTTCCTCGTCGTAGGGATTGACGCTAAGCCCTTGGTGCAAGATATGGATCGTGTTGGATCGTGTTCGAAGGCTGCATTCTCTTCCGCCGGTTTAATGGGTGGAGCTTGTGGAACCGCTCGGTTGTCAATATCCATTCGATCCAAACGTTGTTGCATTGTCTCCATCATCCGCTTAAGTTTGCTACCACATTCATTAACTGTGGTTCCGGTGGTGGTTCATTCGCCCGTTCGTTTTCTGACATTGTTAGGACTTATACTGCAAAACTAACAAACATCAGAAATCAACAAAAAGGGACCAAAGAAGAAGATGATAGATCCTCACACAACTCTCCAGAAAGTGTTTTCACTCAAAGATGTCACTCAAACTCTCTTTCTCTCCTTGTAAAGCCTTGTTCAAGCTAAATCAAGAACTCAAAAGACTCAACAATAGTGAACTAGTTAGTCTAAACTTAACCCCTTGAGGAACAAATACCTGTAACAACCTCAACTATTATTAAGAATCCAAAAATCGAATTCTTCAAGACTTAGAATATCACAGGGTTCTGAAATTTCCGAAGAATGATATCGATTATCGATGTCTTTATATATATATATATTTTTTTGTTTTTCTTTTTTGCTACTCTTCTCTTTTCTTCTTTTTCTTTTTTTTTCTTTTTCCTCTCTCTCTATTTAAACTTGTAGAATCCCTAAAAAACGAAAATTCAAATAACTAAATGAATCAAAGTAGAAAAATATCACAAACAACGAAAGACAGGTTCTGATACCAAATGATATGCACCCGGATCCACGTTCTATGCAAAAAATTAGGCGATGATGAGTTTTGTTCTAAAACCTCTAGGCAACCCGAAACAAAACTACAACCCAAATCTGGAATAGGCCGTCTCTAATCCTTGTTAAACTCGACTTAGGACACTAGAAAAAAACAGGCAATTAGCAACGAAATTAACAATGAAATATATTTCGTTGCAAAGTTAGCAACGAAATTGCAACGTTTTATAACGGAATTTTTTTTGCAACGATTTAGCACCGCTTTGCAACGAAAAATTTCGTTGCTAATTTTGCAAAGCATTAAGAACATTCATTCAAACCAAAACATCAAACCAACAAGATCAAATATTAAATACACACATAAATCCTTATACAAACTCAAATTCTAAACTCATCAAGGCAGTTCTCACACAAATTCAAGATAAATAAAAAGACATATCAAAGGGATGATTGATAACTCCTATTTTTCTCTATATTTTTATGAGAATTTGTCTAGGTTTTACAGGATAATCACATGCATTTAAAGACATTCTAGGCGTGTTAGGACACAAAACCCAGTTGTGCTTTAGTTTTGTAGAGTTACAGGTTTCAAAGATGATTGGATGCGAAAAAGAACGTTCCTAGAGCGTTAGAGATGAAGTTCGGATGAGGTACTCATATTGCGAGTTCAGTAACTTCCTCTACAGAAGTTCAAATAATGCGAGACTTGCATCAATGGAAAGAGCGTTTCAAGAGCTTCGCGTAGATGCCAAAATCACGTAAATTCGACATCGGAGCAGAAAGTTATGAGCAAATTCGTGAAGAGTCCGAGTCAGAGTTTTGACTCGGTCGAGTCAGAACCCAGAATCGGATGCTAATGGGAAAAAGACTCTTGGGAGCCACCATAAGGTTATAAAATAGACCTAGCCACGTCCTAGAACAGAGAAGAGCCTTAGAGAACACTTTGATACAGACTTTTGAAGAGCTTTTGGTGAGAGAAGAATAGAAGTTCACGGGATTTCGGGAAGAAGGAAGATTCGATCGTGAAGACTACACATCTACATGAGCTTTTCTCTCCTCTCTTTTATCTCTTTTCTTTTGAGCTTTTTGTTGTTTTCCATGAACCGTGAGTAGATCTACGACTATGGGTTAGGGATTCGTTTGTATTTTGGGTATGTTTGAACCCTAACTTAGATTTCGACATTATGCTTGTTTCGGTTTTATCGATTTGTGTTTTCTTGCCTATTGGTGTTTGCTGATCACTTGGCCAATTGTTTTAGATTCTGAATCACATAGGAATATGGGTTTAGTTTCGGATCAAAATCGATAGAATGGATCGTATTATTCACATAGGAATATGGTTTGATCGATCTAGAATTGATGATAGTGTTCTTCATGCATCTAGTTTGATAAATCACATAGGGATGAGTTACTCTGTAGATAGGGAGTTAGTAGACCGGGAGGTGAATTCTCTATTCTTGTTGCTTGATGATTCCCGAATACAAGTACGATGTCGTTATTCTCGCATGCTTAGTAAATACCCATACACGCGAATACGATCCCAACACCCGTAGTCATCCTTGCTTGCTAGTTTACACGTTTTTATTGCTTTGCTTTTTTATTTTCTATTAATTCCACATATTTCCATCATCAATTCCACTTGCTTGCTTTGATCTGGTTTCGATTAGGGTTTAGATTTAGCTACTGGTCCTTGCGTTCGACCCCGTGTTACGACGATCCGTATCCTTGCGGTTTGTGAATCAGGTTATAAATTCTAGACTCGGTACACATGTATCAATGATCCAAGAGTAAGAATAGAGAGGTAGAGTTAGAGAGACTTAGTGATTTAGGAGCATGATCTTTCTCTCCCTCCTCTTCTCCTTCTTCTCCTCTTGAATCACCCGTGAAAGCTTGGATTTTGCTCTCAAAACACTCTCTCTAAGTATATGAATGATTCTCCAAAACCTCCCCTTCGTGTCCCTTTTATAGCCAAGAAAAAAAGAAAGACATTTCCTCATTTTTCTCCATGATTCCCGAACTCCATGTTTTGAAGACATGTCTTTTTGTTTGTCGCCATCAAAACGCATAGCTGTAGTATGTTTCTCATAACGTTCGGCTCCGATATCAGATTGAAGTGATCTTAGTGTCCACATATAGATATCAAATAGATCTTTCCAATGATGTATTTCACATGTAATTTGGACCTTAATTCAGAAAGTTATATGCTCGCAATGGCTTGTCCATGCGTAGTTCATTGCCAAAACATAGACTCATAGTAGTTTCATCATAACTTTCTGATGCAATATCCGATTGGAATGATCTTTATGTTTATGTGTTGCTATTCAAAAGGCCTTTTCAATGCTATATAGTGTGTGATTCGGACTTATATTGCAAAAGTTATGAAGCTTGTAAAGTTGGCATCTTGCAAGCTTTTTCTTTTTGACGCTTTGGTGCTCGGATTGTTTTCGGGTTGGCTCCGGATCATATCTTTTCCTCATAAGATTGCCTCATTTTCTAATTCTCCTGCAAATATTAAAAACATCGAACATGAAGTAAAATATACAAAGGATGTCTATAAATATGCGAAATATCGTGAAATATGCTAGACATCCGATATGAAGATATGACAATATATATATCATACATGTCATCACAAGACGTTGGCCTTCCTTACTTTTGAGTGTATTTGTTCCTACTTTTATTCAACTTATTCCTTAAGCAAGAAATTTTTCTTATTTTCTACTGTGTTTCTAGCCTATTTAAAGGTCTTTATATGTCAAAAACAAACAGACTTTGAATTGGACAAAAATTGAGTTCCATTCTGCGCATGTATGCGTGTGTCACCTTTGTGATAGATCAAACCGAGGTGGATTCAATGTAACTCTGACTCCTTTGAATCCTCTTTCGTATCCCTACCTCTCACCAAAATTTGAGAATTATCCGAGTGTCCTTTGGCCTGGAACTTCCCTCTCATCAACGCTCCCGAGTGCTTAATCTTAGTGCGATTTGCAGGTAGTTTTTGAGGGATTCCGAGTGCCCTTTGGCCTTGTTATCCTTTTAAATATATCTGTAGGAATACCTTAGTGAGTCTCCAAATATCTTCTGGTTTCGAGTTTGTTCTATTCGTTGTCCAAAGGCAACATAAGACATGCTTGTAGAAACCACAAGTCACCGAAGAGATCGAGTTGACTTCTTGGCTCCGTGTGTGTATCAGGTTGTATTGTTATATATGTGTTTTATAAGACTTATGATATCTACTGAACACTGTGTTCCTTGAAAATTGACAGAACACGGACGTGTTTCTGGCTTAGACCGATTTCAGTCCGAGAATCAAGTTTGGGAAGTTACAGTGATCATGGTCTGCTCAGCGCCAAGCATGAACTTCGACGTTAGACGTACATACATGATACAACGGGCCAGATCCTAACATCTTTCTTATTAATCGAATAAAATTAACCCAAAAAAGAAAATAAAGAACTAAAAAAAACATATAAAAAATTATGCGTCCTAAATTAAAGCTGAAAGAAAAAAAATCCTTATATATATATTGTGCTCTAGAGAGTTTGCTGGATCTGCGCGTCACTTCTCAGCTCAAACAGCAAATGCATGGGATCATTGTTTTAATGTCGCCAGAGATTTGTCATGTGGTTTCACGCATTCATGTTACAACGCCAATTAATATACTCAGAGTTTGCAGCAACAGTACAATCCTATGAACGACCAAGAAAAAGTCAGTTTGTCAACGACGGCGGTGGCAGTTGCGAGAAGTTTTCAGCCGCAGATGTTACCGGAGAAACCGGAGTCGCCGGCGGTTGCACACACGGAGGTAACGGTGGAGGTGGCGGAGGGGGACAGGACGTTGGTGGAGGTGGCGGCGGCGATGGTGCCGGAGGCGGTGGCGGTGGAGGAGGAGACGCCATCTGCGGCGGCGGTGATGGCGGAGGATGACAAGGGTCAACAGGATAGCATTTGAAGGAATCACAATCAACAGGTTTGGACAAAAACACCTTACACTCTAACACCGATCTCTGGTTCCGTTCGTCTTTCAGGCAATTCATCGTGTCGTTATAACCCTCGAGGTTAAGACAAGACGGCGGTCCACCGGTGAAATAGTTATAACCAAAGCTGAAATTTTTCAGCTTCTTGAGCGAACATAGATTATCCGGCATTATACCTGAAAGTATGTTACGCTCCACGTTCAATTGTTCAAGATTCGTCATCTCTCCAATCGTCTCCGGCAACTCTCCGACGAGCCAATTGTAACTCACGTCGAAAACAGTTACGTTTTTAAGCAACCCGATCTCCTTAGGCAAGCACGAGTGTAACCCGTTATTTGTCATGATGATCTCATTCAGAGTATTCGCCATCTTACCGAAATTAACCGGTATACATCCCTCGAACCCGTTCGACGCCAGTACGATAACCGAAACTGGGGAGTTACATATGTTACCTGGGATTTTGCTATTGAACCTGTTATGGTTTAGAAATATAGCGTCTAGATCTTTCTCGAACAGAGATTCCGGTAATTCCCCTTCGAACTCATTGAACCGGAGATCGAGGAATTTCAATTTTGGTAAACCGATAACAACATCAGGAAATTTTCCAGCGAACCGGTTATTGCTCAGATCGAGCTCAAAGAGAAGACCCAGTTGTATGAAGCCACGTGGAATGGTTCCACAGAATCTATTCGAGTTCACGTGAAACAGAGCAATGTCGGTGAGGAGACCAAGCTCGTCGGGTAAGTGGCCGGCAATGTCACCATGGTTGAGATCGATGCCGGAGACGGTTTGTATCGAAGGGTCGTCGAGAGATGGGGAGCAGAAGATTCCGGTGTAGTTGCAGACACTGGATCCCTCCCAATTCGCCGTGAGATTGAAGGGATCAGAGATCATGACCCGTTTCCATGCTTGTAGCGCCACGTAAGCTCTCTCGAGCCGTTCGTTTCCGAAGATGAGGAACGGAGGTACGGACACTGGACCGTCTTTCGTATACAGAAGTTGTCGGATTCCGCTGCCATGCACGGTGGCGATGGCGGATACGAGGAGGAGGGCAATGACGGTGACGGCGACTGAGCGTATATGTTTCTTCATCACACTCTTAATCAAGTAAAGATCTTTGGTTTCTATTCTCTCTCTCTCTATATATCTTTTGGAATAGATTTATCAAATCCGAGAAGAGACTGGGAGAACGAGAGCTATTGATTCTCGGTGTTAGCTGTGATAGAGGAATTACAATACATATAAGTTGATCTATTTTTAGGCAATTTTTTTAGTGTTTGAATTGCAATTTCTCGGAATTCAAATTATTTTAACCGGAAATTTCTAAAAAATAATATTTATGTTTAGTTTAGGATTATTGACCTGGCAAATGTGAAATGAAGGGGAGATCCCCACTCTTTTAGGGTTTGGGAAATAATCGCAAGAAAACGAAAAAAAAAATAGAAAAGAGACGAAAATATGTGATGATGCTAGTTTTTAGTGGTAAACTTCTTAATTACTATAATAATACTCGTTGGCGATCACATGTTTTCAGATATTTACGGGTTTTAAGAATTAAGATATTTACTGAAGTATAATTTATAAAGTATATATATATATATGTTGGGTTTTTTACAGTGAATCACGATTCGGTAAATGAGAATCTCTTACTTGTGTGAACAAGTTAAGATAACAATATCTAGTAAAAACGAAAATTTAAACGAGACAACCGATTTAATATGGAATCCTTTTTTATGTGAGGAGTAAAAACTACGGGACCATGATCCACCCAAAAAGTCACTATAATCTCAAATTTCCGGGTTGCAATGTCTACACTTCAGTCTCCAATAGACTAGAGATACAACTGAGACTTCCGAATATTAATCTAATATTCAATCTCAATAAATCCGAAAAAACAAGTTGTAACTTAGGTAGCAAGCTAACATGTAACTTATAATTCCAACAACAAAATTCCAATTTCTCCATAGAAATAAAAAGTTCAGAGGGTCTAGAATAAGCATATCAAATATCAAGTCAAACGGAGAAGATATGTCCATCTGAATGTCTAATTTACTCGGACATATGCTGCTGAAACTTCAATGATGAACAACTTCGGTAGAAACTTTGTTTTTCTGATTTTGACTGGTAGAAACAAAATCCCACCGGATAAAATCTAAAACAATGAGTGTAGAAGTTCTCCTCCAAATTTCAGATCGATCGGATAAAAGATGACTATCTGATCGAGTCTTTGATCACAACAACACCAACTTTTTTCTTCACTCTTTCTCCTCCCCTCTCTTTTTGTCTTCTTCTCTTGCTTGGAACTCTTGTGTTCGGGATGGTTTACACTGAGCTCCCTATTTGTAGGAAGGAAAAGTTTCAAAAGGATCAAACATAATGATGAAAGACATCATTATTTCTTCCACTTTGAAACAATGTCCAATACAACTCATCTTCCTCCCCACCCCATGTTCTTGATGACATGATGGATTACATGTTAGTTGTAATGTTCTAGGATGATCCGTGATATGACATTTGACTTTGTATTGATTCATTGATTTATGAATGCATTACTTTTTCCGTTATACGATTGACATGTTTGTTATATTTCGGCATCTTTAAATCATTAGAAAATGATTCTAAACTCCCTAGTCAGTTATCGTTGTGGGAACAATGATGAATTAAGACTAGCATGAGGTGTGATCAATGCATTGGATGCAGATCACAATCATAGGTACTCGTTGTGAACGAGTGACTGGATGACCCGCATGAGATTGTCATATTGACAGAGTCATGACTTGAATCTCATACAGCGGTTCGTTCTTCGATCCTCATACTTGGGATGTCTAGAGTATCTGATATGAGGAGTGGCGTGTCTTGACTGCGCCAAACGTCGTCTTTAACCGGATGATTATAACGGCGTTGATTAGATACGTTCACGAATCATATGGAGATAGTAGACATGCAATATGGGACTTGTCACCTCCTTAACAGGAGAGATATTGCTGGACCTTCTCGTGGGAAGTCGGACTATAAAAAATGCGTGGTCACGCTATAGATGAAGTTGCATCTATTTTATTAGTCGATTTGCTAAAACGAGAAAGCGGTTGAACTTGAAGGGTGGCTCAAACCATGCCATTGTTCAACTTATGATATCGTGAGACAAAGGATCAGAATTCGAGCTGTTAATGCCTTGGTTAGATCACCTCTAACTCAATTCTAAGTAGGGATGTCAAACGAGCCGGCTCGGACCAGCTCGGAGCAGCTTGTTTCGAGCCAGCTCATTTTCAGCCCAGCTCGTTAAGCCCATTTTTATTTGGGCCAGAAAATTCATGGCTCAGCCCAAGTCGCTTAGCTCGCGAGCCGGCTCGCGAGTTGACTCATATTTTTCTAAATACCTAAAAAAAATCATATCAAATTATATAAAATCATATCCAAATGATATATCAACATAAAAAGAACATACCAATACATCCAAATCATACTTATATTCACAATCACAATCCATATACAAAAAATCATTTTCAAATAGATAAAATCATAATCCATCCATGTACAAAAAACCATTTTCAGATCATAAACCGTCCATATACAATTAGATCTTAATCCATGTACAAAAAACCATCTTCAGATCCGAATCTATACATAAAAAATTATTTCCAAATCAAAATATCATACCAACAATATCAACACTTTCAAGTTTCAACATAAAATTTATTTTTGACTCCAGCTCCCGAGCCAGCTCGCGAACCAGCCGAGCTAGCTCGTTTGGGCTCGGCTCGCGGCGAGCCGGCTCACTCAGCCCATTTTTATTTGGGTTCAGATATTCTTGGCTCGGCTCGGTAAAAAAGGAGCCAACCTCGAGCCGACTCGCGAGCTCAGCTCGTTTTGACATCCCTAATTCTAAGTGGGTGATCATGGCGTCTTGCTAGAGGCTAACTATGACTTGTAATCCTGGAAAGGTTCTGAAGTCACTACCACATAGAATGGGCCTACAGGGTCACACACCACTAGGGATGGACTTATACGTGAAGAATCCAAAGAATGGAAACGAGATTTGACCGAAACGAGCATGAAAAGAAGTTTTCAGTGTGTTGGTCCGGAGCTGACCAAGGGGTCAGCCCCGGACCAAGTTGGTCAGCCCAGGAGGTCCGGAAGTTCGGTCCGAGGTCATCTTTCCAGGTCTAGTCCGGCTGACCAAAAGTTGGTCAGTCCTGGACCAGACACTGGGTCAGGCGGACCGAGACCGAAGCCAGGCGGACCTGAAAGAGGAACCACGAGGTTTGGTCCGGAGCTGACCAACTTTTGGTCAGCCGGACCAAACCTCCAGGTCAGACGGTCCGAAGGGAGCTGAGCAAGCTGGTCCGCCGGACCAAACTCTTGGTCCGGCGGACCGGGATTTGGGAAATTTTCCAAAATTCGGATTTAGGGTTTTCTAAGCTTATTTATGTTTGGGATTTCGTCAAAACTTAATTAAGGCCGCCCTAAAAACTCAGAGAAATATCCTAGAACCCTAGAGAACCTGTTCTCTTCGATTTCTATTGTCTCGGGATTGGATCTCGTCTCTTGAGTTACCTTTTTCTTCACTAATCCTAGCAGATTCGTTCCAAATAGTTTGGAATCCTTCCCGTCGGTGTGGATACGTGTAGAGGGACTGTCACTTCAGTCCTAGGGCAGGCCCCGGATCGACTCCTACTTCCGTTTCTTCACGAAAGAGGTAAGTATTCGATTTCCACGGTGATATAAACGATCTTTTGGATTTTGCAAGTTTGGTTGCGTGTGACGTTTGACTAGGTTTAGATCTTTCTTCCGCTGCATGAAACCTAGTAAACCAAACCCTAAATTGATATGATCGCATGCTAGGAACCCGTAGATTACCCAACAGTGGTATCAGAGTCTGGTTCTCTCTATATCGCCGTGCGTGTTTTATGATTGCATGATTTTAATCGTTAAATTGCATGTAATCATTGAATCTATGCATGTTTAATGATATTTGTGATTGTTGAATGATGCATGGATGGTATGGAGTCTGTGACAGGTTAACGGTGCGATGAAACGGGAGTGAAACCCTAATTTTCGAAACTCAAAAAATTTGTTCTAAATCTGATCTGTCCGCGGTCAGCCGGACCAAGAGTTGGTAAGCCAGACCAGTAGACATATCAGACTCCGGACTGCGTTTTGGTTAGGAGGACCAAAGTTCTCGCTGGTCAGCCCCGGACCAAGCGAGAACAGTTCAGGTCCGAGACGAGAACCGAGCTGACCAAGGAAACGGACTGAGTTGGTCCGAAGCTGACCAAGTTTGGTCAGCCCCGGACCAACCTCAGTTTTTGAACTGAGTCCGATTCCAAGTCAGCTTGGAGCAGGAGAGACGGACTGAGTTGGTCTGGGGCTGACCAGACTTGGTCAGCTCCTGACCAAGCTCAGAATTTTCTCAAAAAACAGCAGAACGACGGACCAGAGAAGCTGACCAAGGTCAGTCCGGTGGACCAGATTCTGGTCAGCTCCGGACTGGACCTCAGACACTTCTCAAGTCTGAAATTTTGTCCTTTTCCTCATGATTAATCTCAAGCTATTACCGCCCATTAGTAGAACAACTGTCAAGGCCTCGATCGTCATGGTTACGGGTCATGCCCTAGTTGAGCGTGCCTGACTATCTTGGTGAGGCAGTATGGAGAAATCGTGGTTCTCATAGCTCGAACATGGTTGAGTTTGAATTGGGTTATCAAGTCGGACTTGGACCTAATGGTAATGATGGGATGAGGAACATGCAGTGATAGCGTATCATTATCCCATACTCATCTAGGAATCATATATGATATGCTTGACAATGCGTTGTCTATCTAAATAGCATGGTTCTAAGCGTCATGCCCTAGCTGACTCAAAAGCACGTGAAATATGGATCATAGGAAGAAGAAGCTTGCAGAAGCTTTGACTTCTGGTATCTTCGTTATAGAGGCTAACCTGTTTACTTCTACAGCATGTGTATTGGATACCGGATGTGCCTCGCACATTTGTGCAAATGTGCAAGGACTATGGGGAAGTAGACAATTGGCGAAGGGAGAAGTAGATCTCAACATCGGGAATGGAGCAAAAGTTGCTGCATTGACCGTCGGGACTTACGATCTGACTTTACCTTCTGGCCTTGTATTGGAGTTGCATGATTGTTATTTTGTACCTGCCATCAGCAGAAACATTATATCGATTTCATGTT